GTGTGTGTGTGTGTGTGTGTGTGTGTGTGCGCGCACACACACGTGCGCCCATGCATGCATGTGTGCATGAGTGCGTGCATGTATACAGGCAAACATGAAGGCCACAGATCTGCCTCAAACATTCCCCACCTTACTTTGTTTTGCTTTGTTTCATAAGCATTGCTGTCCTGCCATGGTATCAGGTAGTTGTGAGCTGCCATGTGGTAATGTAGGAGGGTCTTCTTTCTATGTGTTGCTTTCATTGGTTAAATAAAGATACTGCCTTGGCCTTTTGATAGGACAGCAGCTTAGATAGGTGGAGCAGACCGAACAGAATGCTGGGAGAAAGAAGACAGAGTCAGGCAGACGCCATGACTCTTCTCTCCAAGACGGACGCTGGTTAGACTCATGCCGGTAAGCCACAGTCAAGAGACAATACAGATTTTTAGAAATGGGTTGAATCAATATGTGAGAGTTAGCCAATAAGAGGCTAAAACTAATGGGTCAGGCAGTGATTAAATGAATACAGTTTCCGTGTAATTATTTTGAGTAAAGCTAGCCGGGAGTTGGGCAGTGGGGAGCGGCCCACCACTCCTTTTACAACAAAGTGGGTGCTGGGAATTGAAACCCTGTTCTCTGGAAAAACAATTAGAACTCTCTCCACCACCACCACCCACACACACCTTATTTTAAAAATAGGTCTCTCAGTGCCCAGGAGCTCACCAGCTCAGCCAGCCTGACTGGGCATAGTTGGTCTCCCTCTCCTTGGTGCTGGGATTGATCTAGTCTGGAGACTGACCGCAGGACCTCTTGCTTGTACAGCTGAGTCAACTTCCCAACCTCATACTTCTCTTTTATAAAATATGGATTTATGAAATATGGAAATCATTAAGGGTGAAGAACAGCTTTGACAGCAGTCACACTTCTAAATTGACCTTGGAAATTGCATTTTTTTAACCTTCACCCAAAAGTATTTTCAACAGTGAAAATCGTTTGTCAACCCTTTAAACTGCTTGCCCAAGCCACATGGCTTTCTGTGCTCATCCAGAGAGACGTACAGCCTATGAGTCTCCCCAGACTTCAGTCCTGATGACAGACTGTCAGACAGCTCACTGTGAAAAGCTGTACCACCCTGCATCGGTTGGTCCACCCTTGGCATGTTTCTCCGCCCAGGCACTGCACGCACAGACACAGGCAAAGCGGCCTCCCTCCAGCACTCCATCTGTCTGTCACTTATACGCACACTCGGTTCTTAGCAAGAAGTAAACAGTGAATAGTTATCAAAATGAATTTCTTCACTTTGGTGAGAGAGGTGGGAAGCCCTGGCAAGATCCAGGGGAAAAAACTCAGTAATTCTCCTTCCCCGGGACCTGGTTCCTGGCAGTGCCAGCTCTGCTGACTTGACAGAAAGGAAAACATTGCCCACCTTAACCACTCTTCCTTCCTGGTGCTTATTTTATCGCCAAAACCTCTGTCTTATTACTAAAGTTATTAGAAATCAATACAGCTTTTAAATCTTTGATCACAGTTGAAACCCAGACCACAGGTCACTTCCTAGAGCTATCTATCTGCTAAGGTAAAAAATATCCCCAGTGTGGAGAGAAAAGAAATATACAAACACTTAAATCTTATCTTCTGGAGTCTTTCTTTAATTTCCTCGCCAAGAGCTTCCTCCTGAACCAGCTTCCAGAAGTCCTCATGGTCACTCATGTTCTTCAGGACCCCACTTTTGGTCAGCTCATTTTGCAACCCTGTAATCTTTGTTTCCAAGAGAATGGGTACATGAATAAACATATACTGCACACTGACATTTCTAGCGGCAAGCCCTAAGAGCAAAAATGGCAACCCCGCTTCTAAACATCAGAGTGCCTTCTGGGTGAATTTGGCTCACCTCAGCTCAGATTGACACAGAATTAATGCCACCCATCATATGTTTGAAGTTTTCTGTCCGAGAACTCTGTGCATTCCTTTGCACTTCAAAAGTTAAAGGGAGCAATCAGAAGGCAGGCAGTCCAATCTCTTTCTTTTTTTTTTTTTAAAGGCTAATTAGTAGTAGCCAGAAGTGGACCCTAGCGGATTCTTGCGTGGGAGGAGGGCTGGTCTGAGGACATCAGGAGGAAGGTCATTGCTGTCCTTAGTGACCACCGTCTTCTATCCTAATTGCCACATAGGAATATGCTGTTTGCCCTAAGGCACAATACACTTGCCAATTTAGCAGAAAGGCGGCCTCAGGACTCACCCTCTCTCAAATATAATTTTGTTACGTAGATACAAGGATCCGTCTCTGGCCAGTCCTGACATACAGAGGAACAGTTGCCTCCAACACTTGGCTGAGGAGAGGCCTCCCAGGGTCTCAGAGACCCAATTTGGAAAAGGGCAAAAGCACTCATGTACTTAGTTCTAATAGGTTTTAGTATGTGATCCTGAGGGAAAGGCCATTCCTCCGAAGTCACTCTGCAACCAGAGATAAAGCCCTGCACCTCCTGGGTAGCCTTAAGTAAGTGAGTCTCTCCTGGCAGCTGACAGACACAGTGCTTACCCCGAGTTCATGAGACCTGCACAAGAGATGCCAATGCAGGGGACATGCAGGGGACCAGCGCAGGCCCTCGTGCAAAACCATGTGTCCTGGGATTTCACAAACCCAAGAGTGAAATAAAGTCGGCCATGCACTGCCCTCTAGCTAGGGGATTGCTCTGGTTGATCAAAATGCAGCTTGTTCCACGGACACCGTCCACATCCGGGTCTCATTCCTGACCCAGAAATGGGAGGTCCGTTAAACTGGTTTTCTGTGAAGACTGGACCATCTCAAATTCAGGCAGTGGCTCTTTAAGGGAAGACCTCTTACCCCTCTGCAGGGAATACTTAAAGGACTCAGGGCTAAGGGAATCCCTGCCAACTCAAGTCTTAGAGCCAGGCTCAGAGGCCCAGGGATGTATAGGGTTTGGGTTTCCTGTCCCCCAGCTCCTGAGCAGGTAGGTGACAGGCGGTTGTCTCTGATGGAGAGCCTTGTGGCAAAGGTCTGCCTGGAACGGCAGGGGACCTGGTGCCGCTCTCCTGGGCCTTTGGGATGCGCGGTGTGTTGTTCCTGCTCAGAGAACCGCACACCAGGAGTCCTGTCTTACCAGGTAGGTGTTGGACCTTGGAGGGAACCGGGTTGAGGCCTTGGGCGGGAATGCTGGCAAGGCTTCGGGCTGTGGCTGCAAACAAGCAAAGAAAAGTGGTGAGCAAGGCAAGCAAGGTCCAGGAACAAAGCCGCGGGCACAGAAGTAAACAAGCAGCCACAGGAAGCCATTAAGCAGAGTGGGCGCTAATGAGCGCACCGCAGGGCCCTGCGCACCCGCCTGGCCAAAACCACCAGGGACTGCCTCTCCCGGCAATTTGGATCCCAGAGCCCTGCTGGCAGGCCATAAACCCGTTTGTAGTCTCCACCGGTTCCCCCTTTAGATTCCGCCTTCAAGTTTGTGTCGCTAGGGATGACAAGAAGGGCCCTGGGATGCTGTGATCTCTTCTCGGGACCTGCAGTTGCTGGGGGCAGATGGGCTCCCAACTTCAAGGTAAAGGGCTACCGGCCTGCCTCCCACCCTCAACCTTGGCTGGCCACGGTGGGAGACCAGGGGTGTTCAGCCCACCTTCCAGAGTCTGCTGAAATTGTTTCTCGTTTTAAAGGAAGTCATTTGACTTCCCAAATGTTCCGCAAGTTGTAAAACGTGCTTCCAAGCTACTCAAAGGACCACTGGCTTGTCTGAAATTTCATATCATCTACTGCTGGGCGTTGGGCTGGCGTTCTACGTCTGGGTGGGTCCCGGCCTCCTACAGGTTCTGGGGCGAGGACGTGCGGTGGGGGTTGGGCACCACCTGCTCACATTCCAAGAATCCTGAGAGCTGCTGATCCTGGTACCTTCTGATCGTCGCAGCAGCGACACCCAGCGGCCATCCCTGGTACCCAGCGCAATCTCACAGGTCGGTCTCCAAGTCATTTTCCCCAGACCACACACAGAGGGGGGCTTAGGAATTAATTCCCCTTTCCTAGATGGCTCAGAAAGTGTGTGGGAAAGCCAGCTGAGGATACGTTTCAGGTCGCTCTTAGATGTTTGTGCAGATGTTCTCTTAGCAATACCTGGAACTTGTTAGGAGGAGGTGTCATCTAAGTAGAGAGATCGTCATAAATACTTTAGTCAAATTTGAAGAAGACAAATCCCTTTAAACAACTCCAACAGGTCCTGTGGTAAAGAGTGTTTCTTCCTGCTAATCAAGTCTGCTGCCCCCTGGGGTCCCAGGGTGAGTGTGTGCACACTTGCTTCCACTTTTACGGTCCTGTCAGCTCATTTTGCTCAATAAAAACAAATTCGAGTATATTTTCATTTGCATATTTCATATGCCATTCACCCAACATTATTCCCAATTTGTAATGGAATTCCTGATACATTGACTCTAACTGAATTCGAACTGAAAGCACAGGAATTTAGATATGGGTTTCAGTTGGTGAAGTGGACCTTAAAACCAATCAGAAAATGGTTGGTCGCTCCCGTAGGTAACATCTGTTCCAAGACCGCACCTGTGGTCTTATCTTGCCAGGGCAGCCAATACTATGGCTCACAGGGTTCTCAGCTGCCTAAGATGAATGATTACCTTTCTCCTGTCGGTATGAATAGCACCTTCCCTCCGTGACAGCCAGGAGGGATGAACCTTCCAAGTTAGTACCAGCATGATTTCTCCATGTTTTTTGAAGATGTATTTTATTTATGTATGAGCGTTTGCTTGCATGTATGTCTGTGCACTGCGTGTGTGCAGTGACCACATGTGTGCAGACCTGTGAATATCAGAGAGGCTGCTGCATTCCCTGAGCAGGAGTTGGAGTTACAGTGGTGTGAGTGGTAACTGAAGAGCGGGGTACTTTTTATTTTTAAAAAAGGTTTTGGTTTTCTTAAAGATTTATTTATTATGTATACTGTGTTCTGCCCGCATGTATTGTCTGTAGGCCAGAAGAGGGCATCAAATCTCACAGATGGTTGTGAGCCACCATGTGGTTCCTGGGAATTGAACTCAGGACCTCTGGAAGAACAGTCAGTGCTCTTAACCACTGAACCATCTCTTCAGCCCTTCAAGTGGGGTGCTCTTAACCATGGGCCTGTTTGTCCAGCCTCTCTCTATGTTCTATAACTCAGTATATGGTTGGTGTCTTAGGAATAGGGTCTTACTGTCTCAATCTGGAAGATGACGGAGAGTCCTGGCATAGCCCAAAGTGTTTGTGGGTCCGAGATCACAAGCATGGCCCATAGTTTGTGGGTCCAAGAACACTGGCATAGACTGTAGTGTTTGTGGGTCCAAGAATTAATTTGAGTTATTAAATCTTTGCCATGTATAGAGTTTTTAGAGCTATTTATTTTACTTTATATGAATGTTTTGCTTGCATGCATGTATACATGTACCACGTATATGTCTGTTGGATCTCCTAGAACTTCGGTTACAGATTGTTATGAAACTGCCTGCGAGTCCCGAGCAGCAGGGGCTGGGCAGCGGGTCCCGAGAGCCACCAGCCCCGGGCAGGGCCCAGCCATACGGTGGTGGGCTGGTCCCAGCGAGCCCAGCGGTGTGAGCAGGTGGCGGGTAGGAGGAACATGGACAGACACATCGTACAGAATAGAATTGGATATTTATTAGTTGAGTTATGGAATGGGAAGGAAAATGGGGAGGATTTAGGGGAAAGAGAGGAGAGAGAGAAAGGGAAGAGAGAGAAGAGGAAGAGGGAGAGAGACAGAGAGAGAAGAAAGGAGGCAAAAAAGGGAATGGAGAGAGTCAAGATGGTGAGAGGAGGGAGGGGCTACAGGGAGTGGGCGTGGCTTGTCTCTTAAAGTGACAAACAATCTTAACACAAATGGTTGTAAGCCACCATACAAATGCTGAGAATCAAAGCCAGGTTCTTGGCAAGAGCAACAAGTGCTCTTAGCCTCTGAGCCGTCTCTCCAGTCCCTGTCATGTTTATTTTTTATTTGTGTGGGAACTGTTTTCAGTTTTGTGAGTAGTGTCAATTAGAGGTCCTAGGATTGCAGAATTTTCATACCTCTGCTGCCTTTTCCACTTTCTTGCCCCAGGGTTTTCTTAAGGAGGAGGCTCTGGAAAGCAGATTGACACCTGCCCTCTGCGGTCCAGGCTATGCAGCTTATCAGTCTGCCCCTGTGTAACAATGTATATGATGCTGTTGCTGAGAACAGAGAATTTGCTCCACAAACTGGAATAGTTCTGTTTATACACTAGTATCAATTCAGTTGCAAGAATTTATCATTTTTTCACATTTACCTCTTTTACATTTCACTGGCTTTCCTAAAGTAGGAAAGCTGTTTTCATTATAGGCCAAAATCTTTATAATGGTCTTTGGGGAAGCCTGAAACCGCATTCCCCAACAGGCAAAACTTAACATCCCTTCCATCATTTAAATGAGCAAATTAGCTGGGCAGTGGTAGAGCACACCTTTAATCCCAGCACTTGGGAGGCAGAGGCAGACAGATCTTTGTGAGTTCGAGGCCAGCCTGGTCTACAGAGCGAGTTCCAGGATAGGCTCCAAAGCTACACATGAAACCCTGTCCGAAACAAACAAACAAATAAATAATAAGCAAATTAAAAATGTACTTTGGGGGGGCTGGAGAGATGGCTCAGAGGTTAAGAGCATTGCCTGTTCTTCCAAAGGTCCTGAGTTCAATTCCCAGGAACCACATGGTGGCTCACAACCATCTATAATGGGGTCTGGTGCCCTCTTCTGGCCTGCAGGCATACACACAGACAGAATATTGTATGCATAATAAATAAATAAATAAATATTTAAAAAAATGTACTTTGGATGGGGTAGTGGTGGAGCACGGATCTCTGTGGGTTCAAGGGCAGCCTGGTCTACAGAGTGAGTTCCAGGACAGCCAGGGCAGAGAAATCCTGTCTCAAAAGCAAAACAAAACAACACACACACACACACACACAAAATGTACTTTGGGGGAGCCTGCAAGATGGCTCAGTGAGAGTTTGCTGTTGAGTTTGACTGAGTTTACCTCCTGGGATCCACGTGGTGAAAAGAGACAACCCAATCCAATCCCCTAAATATTCCTCTCACTTTCACCGTTGTATACACACACACACACACACACAATGTGTGTGTGTGTGTGTGTGTGTGTGCAGGCAAAACTCATGCACATATAAAAATAAATCTTTATTAGACTTAGTTCTCCTGTCTAAGATGAAAGCCCCAGGCCAAGGACTGAGCTCAGCAGAGCTTGGGAGCCTATGCAGAAGTTCCTATAGTTTTACTCCTAGTATCATCTCTCCCAAAACTAAAACCAAATTTGAAATATTAGAGTGGAAAGCAAAACAAAATACACAAAACCTCCTTCTTCTTGCATGCTTGTCCAGCTCTGGGATCTACTCCCATCCTTCCTCCTCCAGCCAGACGGGACACCAGGGCCCTCAAACCCTGTTCATCTGTCAGCTCCTAACTGGGACTCTCCCACTAATCGTGTCTCCTGTGATATAATGACATGAAGTCTGTCGCTCAAAAGTCAAGCTTAAGGATGTCTTTGGAGGCGGTGCCCAACATCACTCCTTAGATTCTGGGAATAGCCAGGAAAACCTGACCTTCCGGTCCCATTGCTAAAGTGTGGAGTGAGAGCGCCCCATAGACTCCATGGTCCACATCTCCCCTCGTACCCCAGCACACCTCCTCCTTACGGGATGCACCTCAATGAGGAAAATGTAATGGGAGAAAGATCAAGAACACTAAAATTCAGATCTGGGCTCCGACATAGACATAGACTACGTGGCTAATGCACAGAAGACAGGAGGCAGGAGAATGAAGGGTTCCAGGCTAGCCAGGGCTGCACAGACAGACGCTGTCTCAAAGACAAACAAACAAATTCCAGCACTACCTAATGAGAAGCCTCCACCAGATTGGGGTAAACACACCCTGTTAAAGTGCCTTCCACTCACCGCCCATTTGCAAAGCAACAGATGGATTCAGTGAGTGAAATCAAGCGCTGTTCCAGAGAGTTCTCGTCTCTGAAGCTTTCCACGCAGAATATCTGGGCTGGGATCTCACCTCCTCAGCCCACAGCCGACTGCTAGACTCTCCCTGGCTTTGTTGGAAAGTAAGAAGTGGAGGGGAAATATTTTCACAGTTTGTTGGATTTCAAAAGTGTTTTGTGTTTGTTCTGCTTTGTTTTTACTGTTTTCATTATTTTGGTCAGGAGTGAGAAAATCAAATCCCTCAACAAGTTGTTCTTACTTTAAGTCTCCGATAGGGCTGTCACCCAAACAAATCATTCTGCCGCCTTGGAAGCATCAGCCAGTTCTCTGTCAATGGAGTCTGCTAGTGTAATCAAGCTCTCGAAACAGGAGCCCCTCGAGCCCCTCTTTCCCCGTGCTCTCTGCCGGTAGCGTTTTCAAACAGCCATAGATGGAGCTCCCAGCAGGAGACTTACACTTTAATACCCACAAAGCGTTTTGTTAAAGATCTTTGACATTTACTTATGGGAACATAATTGGAAGCATACTGTATTTTAGTAATTATTACACACACACACACACACACACACACACACACATCACACAACCCAAACCCATAAGCATCACTTAGGTACTGCAGTTCCTAGCCAAACACAAGCCCTTCCTTCTTAGCTTCTAAATTTCCTGGGTAATGTATAGAGCTCTCACCCTGAGCTGTAGAAAGGGACTCAGGGAGGGCTGATTGAGCCGCCAAGCTCATGGGGGTGGAACCGGCTGGAGATGTGTGTGTGTGTGTGTGTGTGTGTGTGTGTTTGGGGGGGGGTGTTCACTTTAAAATGGAGATCTC